TTGTGGGCACTAAGCATGATCCAGAAAGATAAACATCTAGCTAATTTATGAGGAAATCTGGGTATTTGTCTCCTAATATTTGATGCAACAGAATAAAAAAGGATGATGATGAATGACAAACCAGACCTCTGACTAGAGTGTACAGTCACTGTTCCCCTTTCCACATTACCCAGGAGGAAACTGGCTTAGATGCTGTATCTAAACACAGACAGTGAGATTCCAGGGCTCTGAGTTCACTTAGCCCTGAGGTTAACAACACTTTGCTCAAGGGAAGATGAGGAGAAGTAATCCTACATTTCGCCAGGACAAGTACTCCCAAGAAACAGAAGCTCTAGGTAAGGAGCAACCAAGTAAAAGTGGTGATAATTTCAATTTAAATGTTTTGTTTTTAGCTTTCAATGAGGACTTTTTAAATAAAAACTATATATATTTATGGTGTAAAACATGATGTTTTGATATAAATATACATTAGGAAATGATTACTGTAATAAAACCAATTAACATATCCATTACCACAGTTTTTTGTGTGTGGAACAAAAACACTTAAAGATCTAATTTCAAGAACACGACACCATCAAATAAGGATTTTTTTTTTTAAAGCAAATAGCCCAGGGCAAAGAGGTATCCAGGATCAAGTTTACAAAGGGCCCTTCAATTACTGACACAGTGTATTTGTGTCAATTCCTTTGTAAAGACATCTGAAATCCTTACTCCTTTTGTATCATTTAAGATCAGAGTAAACTGTGGAATAATGTTAATGGCATTTCTCAATATAAAGTCACTGAACACATCAGCATAGGTCTTATTAGAAGTGCTATAATGCAGGAAAGGCCCTGGTGGTTCAGTGGTTAGGCCTCAGTGTTTTTACTGCCTTGGGCCTGTGCTCAGTCCCTGGTTGGTGAACAGATCCCACACTCCATTCAGTGCAGCAAAAACAAAAAACAAAAAACCTATAATCTTTATTAAAGAAAAAAGGAAATATTTGTTTTAACAAAATAACTTGAATGAACAGCAACAAATGCTCTCCAAAATTACTAAAACCAATGGAAAATTTCAAGCTTTGTCATGAATATCCAACTATTTTCTTTAATATCATTAAAAGTAATCTTAACTGTAGAATACAGTGAATCTGTTTTTGGCATAGATTCCATTTATATATATATATATTTTTTTTTTGAAAGTGAAAGTGTTAGTCATTTAGTCATGTCTAACTCTTTGCGACCCCATGGGCTGTAGCCCACCAAACTCCTCTATCCATGGGATTTTCCAGGTAAGAATACTGAAGTGGGTTGCCATTTACTTCTCCAGGGGATTGTCCTAACTCAGCGATTGAACCCGGGTCTGCTGCATTGCAGGCAGACTTTTTTTTTTTAATTAATTTATTTATTTATTTTTATTTATTTATTTTTTTCCATTTATTTTTATTAGTTGGAGGCTAATTACTTTACATCATTGCAGTGGTTTTTGTCATACATTGAAATGAATTAGCCATGGATTTACATGTATTCCCCATCCCCGTCCCCCCTCCCACCTCCCTCTCCGCCCTATCCCTCTGGGTCTTCCCAGTGCACCAAGTCCGAGCACTTGTCTCATGCACCCAACCTGGGCTGGCGATCTGTTTCACCCTAGATAATATACATGTTTCGATGCTGTTCTCTTGAAACATCCCACCCTCGCCTCCTCCCACATAGTCCACAAGTCTGTTCTATATATCTGAGTCTCTTTTTCTGTTTTGCATATAGGGTTATCGTTACCATCTTTCTAAATACCATATATATGTGTTAGTATACTGTAATGGTCTTTATCTTTCTGGCTTACTTCACTCTGTATAATGGGCTCCAGTTTCATCCATCTCATTAGAACTGATTCAAATGAATTCTTTTTAATGGCTGAGTAATATTCCATGGTGTATATGTACCTCTGTAATCAGAAATCTTCCAGCAAACAAAAGCCCAGGACCAGATGGCTTCACAGCTGAATTCTACCAAAAATTTAGAGAAGAGCTAACACCTATCTTACTCAAACTCTTCCAGAAAATTGCAGAAGAAGGTAAACTTCCAAACTCATTCTATGAGGCCACCATCACCCTAATTCCAAAACCAGACAAAGATGCCACAAAAAAAGAAAACTACAGACCAATATCACTGATGAACATAGATGCAAAAATCCTTAACAAAATTCTAGCAAACAGAATCCAACAACATATTAAAAAAATCATACATCATGACCAAGTGGGCTTTATCCCAGGAATGCAAGGATTCTTTAATATCCCCAAATCAATCAATGTAATACACATTAACAAATTGAAAGATAAAAACCATATGATTATCTCAATAGATGCAGAAAAAGCCTTTGACAAAATTCAACATCCATTTATGATTAAAACTCTCCAGAAAGCAGGCATAGAAGGAACCTACGTCAACATAATAAAAGCTGTATATGACAAACCCACAGCAAGTATCACCCTCAATGGTGAAAAATTGAAAGCATTTCCCCTGAAATCAGGAACAAGACAAGGGTGCCCACTCTCACCACTACTATTCAACATAGTTTTGGAAGTGTTGGCCACAGCAATCAGGGCAGAAAAAGAAGTAAAAGGAATCCAGATAGCAAAAGAAGTGAAACTCTCTCTGTTTGCAGATGACATGATCCTCTACATAGAAAACCCTAAAGACTCAACCAGAAAATTACTAGAGCTAATCAACGAATACAGTAAAGTTGCAGGATATAAAATTAACACACAGAAATCTCTTGCATTCCTATACACTAACAATGAGAAAACAGAAAGAGAAATTAAGGAAACAATACCATTCACCATTGCAACAAAAAGAATAAAATACTTAGGAGTATATCTACCCAAAGAAACAAAAGACCTATACATAGAAAACTATAAAACACTGATGAAAGAAATCAAAGAGGACACAAACAGATGGAGAAATATACCATGTTCGTGGATTGGAAGAATCAATATTGTCAAAATGGCTATACTACCCAAAGCAATCTATAGATTCAATGCAATCCCTATCAAACTACCAAAGGTATTTTTCACAGAACTAGAACAAATAATTTCACAATTTGTATGGAAATACAAAAAACCTCGAGTAGCCAAAGTAACCTTGAGAAAGAAGAATGGAACTGGAGGAATCAACCTGCCTGACTTCAGACTATACTACAAAGCCACAGTCATCAACAGAGTTTGGTACTGGCACAAAGACAGAAATATAGATCAACGGAACAGAATAGAAAGCCCAGAGATAAATCCACGAACCTATGGTCACCTTATCTTTGACAAAGGAGGCAAGGATATACAATGGAAAAAAGACAACCTCTTTAACAAGTGGTGCTGGGAAAACTGGTCAACCACATGTAAAAGAATGAAACTAGAACAATTTCTAACACCATACACAAAAATAAACTCAAAATGGATTAAAGATCTAAATGTATCCATGAGACAAGTGCTCGGGCCTGGTGCACTGGGAAGACCCAGAGGGATCGGGTGGAGAGGGAGGTGGGAGGGGGGACCGGGATGGGGAATACATGTAAATCCATGGCTAATTCATTTCAATGTATGACAAAAACCACTGCAATGATGTAAAGTAATTAGCCTCCAACTAATAAAAATAAATGAAAAAAAAATAAAATCTTAATTATCTTTTTCCCACTCATACCCCAAACACAACTATGGCATAATCCTTAAAAAAAAAAAAAAAAGATCTAAATGTAAGACCAGAAACTATAAAACTCCTAGAGGAGAACATAGGCAAAACACTCTCTGACATAAATCACAGCAGGGTCCTCTATGACCCACATCCCAGAATTTTAGAAACAAAAGCAAAAATAAACAAATGGGACCTAATGAAACTTAAAAGCTTTTGCACAACAAAGGAAACTATAAGCAAGGTGAAAAGACAGCCCTCAGATTGGGAGAAAATAATAGCAAACGAAGCAACAGACAAAGGATTAATCTCAAAAATATACAAGCAACTCCTCCAGCTCAACTCCAGAAAAATAAATGACCCAATCAAAAAATGGGCCAAAGAACTAAACAGACATTTCTCCAAGGAAGACATACAGATGGCTAACAAACACATGAAAAGATGCTCAACATCACTCATTATCAGAGAAATGCAAATCAAAACCACCATGAGGTACCATTACACCCCAGTCAGGATGGCTGCTATCCAAAAGTCTACAAGCAATAAATGCTGGAGAGGGTGTGGAGAAAAGGAAACCCTCTTACACTGTTGGTGGGAATGCAAATTAGTACAGCCACTATGGAGAACAGTGTGGAGATTTCTTAAAAAGCTGGAAATAGAACTGCCATATGACCCAGCAATCCCACTTCTGGGCATACACACCAAGGAAACCAGATCTAAAAGAGACACGTGCACCCCAATGTTCATCACAGCACTGTTTATCATAGCCAGGACATGGAAGCAACCTAGATGCCCATCAGCGGGCAGACTCTTTACCATTTGAGCCACCACGGGAGCCCATATATATTTTTAGTTGAAACAATTATATTGAATATGATTAAATGGGTAATTCAAAAATACAATCATAAACTTTCTCAAATACATTCTTGTTTCCTAGATTTAATGTTATAGATCCAATCACTAATACTCATTTTTAAACATATATTTGATGTAAATGAAGGTTTTAATGATCAACAGTAACAAAATTTCCATAAATACCACTGCGATTTAGGCAGGGAAATCATTGAAAATCAACTAGATACTTTTGATACTTATTTTTTTTATTAGATTTCATTATAAATTTAGTGGGTATTATGTAACAGCCTATAGATAAAATTTATCAAAGGTGGCCTTGACTTGCTCTCAAAAACTTTTTGTTATATATTGGTAAAGTTTGCTTAAATGACAACAAACTTGACTTGATGCAAATATCAAGCTTCTCTAGTAAAACATCAATGATGCCAGTTACAAAACACTTCTGATGCTTCAGAGGAGGTACACAGTATGGTACCAAGTGACACTTACCTTGCGGTAGATCATATGGGACATAGCCACTCTAAGCCTCATCCCAACACGCTGAAAATAATCGAAGCACAAGTGGTGCAGAATGGCCCACAGGAGCACACAGGCGCTCAGCACTGCAGCACAGATGTAGGCTTCATACGAAGCATCAGAAACTTTGGGGTCTTCAAAGTAACTAATTATTTTCCCCAAAAGTAAGGGCAGAACTACTCTGGTGCATTCCTGAAAGAAAATAGTCTCCATTAGAAATTCAAGTCATACCCATTTTTCTTAACACAAGCTTAACTTTGATTTTTGCTTGTTAAAAAGCATTTTAACAAAATGCTACATCCATGGCTCATCTAAAAGAAAAATATACAAATCCACTATCTTCTATAAGACAAGCAGTTTTAACCTTAGGCAAGAATTTTATGTTCAAAGACAATAAAGTCTTAGCACACTGTGCTTAGTACACTGTGGATACTCAATAAATATCACAATTAGTGCTTTAGAATGCATTTGGCAAGATGCCAAGTGACTCTTTGCCTAAGATGAATAAAGAAAAAGGTGGCAGAGAAGGGTAAGAAATTTGTTTCCTTATGAACAAGCCCTGCTCATAGCCGGCCCTTGTCCCCGTTCTCTCATCATCCCAGCCCAATAGAAAATCAAGATGGTTTATGTACAGGAAGTGGGCTCTTGCCATCACCTTCTGCTTTAAGAGCCTTTTTGAACTGAGACATTGGCACAAGATCTTCCTTGTGAAAGTTGCCCAGTCGTATCCAACTCTTTGTGACCTCATCCATGGACCATACAGTCCATGGAATTCTCCAGGCCAGAATACTGGAGCAGGTAGCCTTTCCCTTCTCCATGGGATCTTCCCAACCTAGGGATCGAACCCAGGTCTTCCACATTGCAGGCAGATTCTTTACCAGCTGAGCCACAAGGGAAGCCCAAGAATACTGGAGTGGGTAGCCTATCCCTTCTCCAGAGGATCTTCCCAATCCAGGAATCAATCCAGGGTCTCCTGCATTGCAGGTGGATTCTTTACCAACTGAGCTATATGGGAAGCCCAAGACATTGGCACAGACACATCCAATCTTTTTCACCCTAAATTATACATGCCCAGAGATTAAGAGAATGGAGCCCAGCTTCAGTTGGAGCATCACAAGGAAACCAGGCTGGGGAGGTTCCCAGGCTCTCAGCCCCAGGGAACACTGTGTTAATATGTCTCTACCCTCAAGAAGATGGGATGTTCCTTGGAGTCAAAAATTAGACATGGCAAAAGCCAAGCTTTAAAAAAAAAAAAAAGATGTCATCCATGGTTATCCATCTAACAAACACTGCAGGAGCTGCTTTGGAAGAAATATTACAAATCATCTCTTTCTCAAGGCAAAAGTCAAATCTTAAACCAGTGAGTTGGGAGGCATTGAGGCTTAACTCCTGAGTGAGACTTAGGGAAAGCAATTTTCTTTCCCAAAACTAAAGAAACACTTGCCCATCCTGCCAAACAGCCACTCCATCCCACACCTACCTCCTCCCTCTAGTCAGCCCCCTAAATGTTCCCTTCTCCCCTATTAAGGAAAACTAAGCACTCAACATGAATCCAAGTCACCAAAAGTAAACACTTCCACCCTCAACATCATTTCTTCCACAGACTGCTCAAAAGACAAAATGCCAAAAGTTTGGAAATCTTTCAAAAACTTGACTTTCAAAAAAGATTTTACTTTTAAGCAATACTTTTTTTTTTTTAATTAATGCAGAAAGCCACGGTGGCTCATGTACAGGAGACAAAGCTGGGCCATTTCTAACAGTCAGGAGAATAGGACATAACCCCCGCCACTCCTCACCTCTCAGGGGAAGGGACTGGGCAAACTCACACTGGCTCTTTGAGGTCACCCCACTTATATACCAGCAGATGGAAGACTTATCTCTAAGAGGGAGGCCCTGATGACCTGGGGAGGTCTGTGGGTCCCCATGGAGGTGAATGCAGAGGCTAGGCATGCTGGATACTTGGCTGTTCCATTTTAATTATTGTTGGTTTTTCAAGAGCTTCACATCAACATCATCCTGCCATTTTTTTTTCTGAACATCATAATTCATTCTCTCAGAGGACAGAGATTTTTATACTTCAAAATCCTAACCCCAAAAGTTTCACCTTGGACTGACATTGCCTGCCTCTTCCTTCTGGTGCTGCCAGGAGTGCCTGCGCTGTGGGTGGTCACAGTACATGGCTTGGGAATCATGGATGATCTACAAGGTGTTCTGTGTACCAGAGTAATTCAAAGAGGGCTGGAGGTCATAAAGAAAATGTAGTTGCATTTTAGAGCTTCCCAGGAGGACCCAGTGACAAAGAACTCGCCTGCCAATGCAGGAGATGTAAGAGTTGCTGGTTCAATTCCTGGGTCAGGAAGATCCCCTGGAGGAGGACATGGCAACCCACTCTGGTATTCTTGCCTGAAGAATCCCATGGCCAGAGGAGCCTGGTGGGCTAAGGTCCATAGGGTCTCAAAGAGTCAGACACAACTAAAGTGACTTAGCAGGCAGCACATTTGCATTTTAGAGAATCCTGTGCTGAGTTTAGATCTTCTACCATCTCAAATATAATGACCAATAAGCAGCATAGACAGATCACAAAATGAGACATTGCTTCATAAAATCAGTTACTTAACTAACATTCATTCCATCCAACTTAGTAACTAGCTTTAATCATCCCAAATTCAAAACAGCACCTGAAAAAGATCTTTAAAATGTAAAAAAAAAAAAAAAAAGTTAAATCATTACTAGCTTTGTCATGAGAAATCATTTCTTTGTAACTTCTCTGAACAGTAGATTGTCAACAGCCAATATTAGGCAAACAGGAGTATTTGTGTTGAATTTCAGGCTTCTTTTGGTGGACAGGAAAAAAAAAAAATCAAGGTTCACTTCTCCTTGAGTTTTAATGGCCCTCAACTGCTGGAATGTCACTGCATTAGAATGAAAAGTTCTGCCAGTTATAACCCTAATACCACAAAGTTAGAAGGAGTTTCATATGCCAGTCAGCATCCTTACCTGGGGAATCAAAGCCACTGCCTAGTTTTACGCTGTAAACCACCAAGACATTGGCTTGAACAGCATGAACAAGCAAGCTCCCTCCTGGGAGAAAGTCCAGTCCTGGCACTTCACAGCTGATTTATCTGCTGTCCCCCCAGGGACTGTCTGGCCCTACCCAACTCTCACCCTAAGACCTAGGTCTGGGGTACACCCTGTGTGTGGGGAAGTGTATTTGGAAATATACCCTAGTAACTGACCTGGGGTTCTCATTCTCACTCAGCAAATGCACCTCCAGAATCACAGACATACTGGGTCTCAGCAAGCAACCAGAAGCACTTAGAAACAACATAGAGGACTCAGCCTCTGCCCAGATCATCAGTCCCAACATAGTCACCATCCAAGACCCAAAATCTTCTCACTGGTCCATATCAGGGAGCCCATCTGGAGCAATGTCTTAAGAGTATGGATGGATTTATAGTTAGCTCACCAGGGCAGCCATAAACTCATCCACTGGGAATAGTAATGAGTGCAAGGTGGCTTCCTAAAGGGCTCCTGGCCCATCTGAACTCAACATGACACTGCTGCTAGTGTCAAAGTCCTAGTCGCTTCCAGTATTGGTGGGGGGGGGGTTGGGGGTGGGGGTGGGCGATGGTGGTCCAACCTGGACATCCTCATTTATGATCCCTAATCTTATATCCTATTCCAGGGAGTTCTTAGTATCCCATTTCTTATCCTTAGGCCAAGTTCAGGACACATGTGTCTGAGATCATGAAGACAAAGCTCTCAAGAGGAGCCTTCCTGATCATGGACAGACTTTTCAGTCATTGAGATGATCAGGCTCATAAGTCAGAGTGTCTGAGAGGGAACCTCAGTCTGTCCTTGACTCTTCATATGACCACAGACACACTATGTAACTATTTGAACACAGCGTCCTCTCTTCTAAAATGGAAGTAACATAATATCTATGACTTAATTGAATTAGCCAGAGGATTTGGTGATATGACATGCAAAGTGCTTATAGCATTTTTGATACATAATATTTTTGGAGTACATACTATTGTACTACTACACTATTAACTACACTATTAATAGTACTGCTGCCCCTGCCACCACCACTACTACTGAGTATGATCCTCTGTTACTGCCACTAGTAGTACTTCTAGTACTACAGAGAACGAGCCCTGCAACTGTCAGGTCCTCTACTCCCCGCTTCTCTGCCATGACCACCCAACAACCAGCCTCCTGAAAGAGGGGCCAGGGCTCTACCAGTTGCACCTTATGCAGCCCCAGGCCTGGCCTTCCTGGATCCCCAGCAGGAAGCATGATTGGGGCTGGAAAACTGTGAAATCAACACTTCACCCTGCCACAAGGCACTGCAATATCTGGGTGGTCAGAGCCCTCTTAAAGGTAGCACTCTCCCCCATATACCTTTCCCCAGCCTCTTGCACAATGGCTAATCCACCCATGTCATTAATGAGAATTCAACCTGCCAGGACCATCCAGTCACCAGTGAATTGACAGATTCACTGGTGGGGTAGACTTCACCTACCCAGCTGCCTGCATGCCCTTCAGAAGAACACAACCTTTAAATAAGAGCCACACCTTCCACCTGTAGACCACCGGGGCCATTACCTCACCCCCAATACAATGGACTGATGACAACTCACCACATTTTCCACCTAAAATACCCTTCTCTCAGCAACTGTATCTTCCATCCCTCCTGCTCTCACACACTCACGGGCCACCCATGTCCCTAAGGCAGCACTGAGGGACCACGGAGAGCACAAACCACCCAGGGGGGTCTGCAGCAGGCCACCAGTAGGCTCAGCCAGAACAGGGGGGCTGATGGCACTGTGTCCCCAGGTGAACTGTCTCACTGGGGGGTCTTGACCCAGAATCTTCAGGGTCATGGAGGTCACTGACCTCATGGCTTTCTACTCTGGTTTTCCCTGCACACCCCCTTCTCCACCCTCTGCCAATCCCAGCTACCAAGACTCACCCTTCAACCAGAAAACCACCCCCACAGCCAGGACAGAAACTAGCGTGGAGGGTGAATGAATTCATGGTGAAGCTGGAACTCCTCCACATGGGGGTTTTGGCTCACAGTGCCAACCCTTGGGGAAGGGGGAAGCCCAGGAAAGGATGTGCTCTTGGGAGTTCTAGGCAGCTCCAGCCAAGATGCAGGGTCCTGGGTTCTGTTCCCCTGGAAGGGGAGAGGCGATGATCCCATCTAAGGAAATCATTTATCACATGTGACCTGGTCAAGTTAATTATTACTTGCTGAGTACCTATAATGAACTCCTTATTTCAAGAATTCAGACTTAAATTGAAGAAAGATGGGAAAACCACTAGACCGTTCAGGTACAACCTAAATTAAATCCCTTACGATTATATAGTAGAAGTAACAAATAGATTCAGGGGATTAGATCTGATAGACAAAGTGCCTGAAGAAATATGGACAGAGGTTCGTGACAATATACAGGAGGCAGGGATCAAGACCGTCCCCAAGAAAAAGAAATGCAAAAAGGCAAAATGGTTGTCTGAAGAGGCCTCACAAATAGCTGAGAAAAGAAGAGAAGCTGAAGTCAAAGGAGAAAAGGAAAGATATACCCATTTGAATGCAGAGTTCCAAAGAATAGCAAGGAGAGATAAGAAAGCCTTCCTTATCGATCAATGCAAAGAAATAGAGGAAAACAACAGAATGGCAAAGACTAAAGATTTCTTCAAGAAAATTAGATACCAAGGGACTATTTCACGCAAAGATGGGCACAACAAAGTACAAAAACCATATGGACCTAAGAGAAGCAGAAGATATTAAGAAGAGGTGGAAAGAATACACAGAAGAACTATACAAAAAAGATCTTCGTGAGCCAAATAGTCATGATGGTGTGATCACTCACCTATAGCCAGACATCCTGGAGTGCAAAGTAAAGTGAGCCTTAGGAAGCATCACCATGAACAAAGCTAGTGGAAGTGATGGAATTTCAGTTGAGCTATTCCTGGTCCTAAGTGATGATTCTGTGAAAGTGTTGCACTCAATGTGCCAGCAAATTTTGAAAACTCAGCAGGGGCCATGGGACTGGAAAAGGTCAGCTTTCATTCCAATCCCAAAAAAGGCAATGCCAAAGAATGTTCAAACTACCATACAACTGCATTCATCTTGCACACTAGCAAAGTAATGCTCAAAATTCTCCAACTGTGGCTTCAACAGTATGTGAATGGAGAATTTCCAGAAGTTCAAGCTGGACTTAGAAAAGGCAGAGGAACCAGAGATCAAATTGCCAACATCCATCAGATCATAGAAAAAGCAAGAGAATTCCAGAAAAACATCTACTTCTGCCTTATTGACTAAGTCAAAGGCTTTGACTGTGTGAATTACAGAAAATTGTGGAAAATTCTTAAAGACATGGGACTACACCAGACCACCTTATCTGCCTCCTGAGAAATCAATATGTAGGTTAGGAAACAATCATTAGAACCAGACATGGAACAACAAAGTGTTTCCAAATTGGTAAAGGAGTTACGCAAGCCTATATATTGTCACCCTGCTGATTTAATTTATATGCAGAATAAATCATGCAAAATGGCCTGGCTGGATGAAGCACAAGCTGGAATCAAGATTGCCAGGAGAAATATCAATAACCTCAGATATCCAGATGACACCACCCTTATGGCAGAAAGTGAAGAGGAACTGAAGAACCTCTTGAAAATGAAAGAGGAGAGTGAAAAAGCTGGCTCAAAACTCAACATTCAAAAAATGAAAATCATTGCATCTGGTCCCATCACTTCATGTCAAATAGATGGGGAAACAATAGAAACAGTGAGAGACTTTATTTTCTGGGGCTCCAACATCACTGCAGATGGTGACTGCAGCCATGAAATTAAAAGACACTTGCTCTTTGGAAGAAAAACTACAAACCACCTAAATAGCATATTAAAAAACAGAGACATTGCCGACAAACATTCGACTAGTCAAAGCTATGGTTTTTCCAGTAGTCATGTATGGATGTGAGAGATGGACCATAAAAAAGGCTGATCACCAAATAATTGATACTTTTGAACTGTGGTATTGAAGAAAACTCTTGAGAGTCCCTTGGACTGCAAGGAGACAACAAGTCAATCCTAAAGGACTCAATCCTGAATATTCACTGGAAGGACTGAAGCTGAAGCTCCAATACTTTGGCCACCTGATTCGATGAACTGACTCATTAGAAAAGACCATGATGCTGGGAAAGATTGAAGGTAGAAGAAGAAGGGGATGACAGAGGGTGAGATGGTTGGATGGCATCACCTACTCGATGGACATGAGTTTGAGAAAGCTCCAGGAGTTGCTGACGGACAGGGAAGCCTGACATGTTGCAGTCTCAAAGAGTTAGACATGCCTGAGCAACTGCACTGAACTGAGCACCTGTAAAATGTCTTATGTTACTGGGGCTTTGCCCCAAGTTTACTTCCTCCAAACCACATATTCCTTGAGGTTTTAGGATATTCTTTTGATCAAGGATTAATTTTAGCATTTATATCATTTACTGAGCACCAACAATGTCCTAACATGGTCTAAAATGTCTTTGCTTTTCAGTCCTTCCTCCCATGACACTATGTGTTAATTGGTTAAAAGACAAATGGTAATCTCCAGAGGACCAATTCCCTAGATAAACACCTGTTTATGCTGAAGATAAATACAATCACTAGGCTACAGGATGTTAAACCACTGGTCTCTCTCACCAGTCACATCCATTTCAGTACTGGCCCACGTACAATGAAAGCAATGCACTGTATGTAAAAGCTTTTACCTCAGAAAATACAAAAATTGCAGATAACAAATAGGATTTCCAGTAACACTTTATGATTGCTTTCTTTAAAGAAGGCTTCTGTCCATTTGTCTCAGCTCTGTCAACTTCTTGCTTCCAGTACCTGCAATGAGAAAAATCACAGTAAAGAACAGTCCTGCCATAGGGAAAATGGGGGAGGGGCAGAGTGGAAGATAAGCCTTCACTACAGGGTGCTCTGTGGCTGCCCCACAGATACTGGCTAACTGTTCACAGGGCTCCTGAAGGATGAGTGGTGTAGACTGAAGCACCAGAAAAACAGGCCTTCAGGCTTTGCTGGATTCACAGGTCATGAGCTGCTCAGGAGGGCAGACATCCTCCTCCAGGGACAGAGCTCGGCCTCCAGGGCCATGGCTGCGGGCTCCCTCCACGTCCACAGATGCACAGGGAACACAGGCTCCCCCAGCCTCCAAAGTGGGCTAAGCCTGGGGTAAGCATGAAGGGGTGAGCATGCAGAGTCAGGGGAGGAGGCTCAGAAGAACCCAGAGGAAGGCAAAGCTCCCTCACACCTTTAGCCCCATGTGGAAATCCTCACTCTTCCTCCCCTTCTCCCTCCTGTCTGTGCTCACCCTTGCAGCTCTTCTCCAACGTGCTGGGAACAATCTTTTGGAAGCACTGAGTGTATTTCATTTTCTTTCAATCTCCATTTGTGACCAAACAGGAAAAAGGGATTAAGCCACCTGTTAAAAATTAAGAGAAAAGGAGAGGTATATATTCAAATTATATAACTCTTAATTAGAATCCTACATTCATGGGCTTTGTAAAAAAAAATACTCTACACTGTAAATATATAGAAATATGGAAGAAAAAAGTTGGATATGTATTTACACACACATACTGTCTAGCTCTATATCCTGAAAGACCATGGAAGCAATGACACACTAACAAGGAACACTCCAGACCCAGATCTCTGAGTTATTTTTTTTAACATACACAATTATTTTTTTCTTGTGGTGAGAACTTTTAACGTCATCTCTCAGCAGCTTTCAAATATGCAATAAAGCATTATAACTGTGGTGACTATACCAGACATTACACTCCCATGACTTACTTATTTTAGGGAAGTCTGTCCCTTTGGCCCACTCCACCCAGATCCTGACTTATTAATATCTTTCTTTTCTAAAAGGAACCAAGGTTCCTTGAAGAAATGACTGGTTCCAAGGTTGGGTCTGTGTGTTTTAGCACCTGATAATCACCTTTTTTAATTGTAATATAAATGCCTGACGTTAAGTTTGGAGACATACACCGCAAAGCTATCCATCTCCAATGAACATGAGTCAGTTATACAACTAGATAAAGAGCCAGACTGCCCCACCCATGAAGTTCCCTTTTTCAAAAAGTTCTGGTTGACCTGATAACAGACCATCTCACTGACTGCTTGCTTCTCCCTTCCCGCACTTTAATTCCCGCTCTTATTTTTTAAATTCACCAATAAAGAGTGAAGTTGCTAAATTCAAGCGCACCCCACCCTCAATCCCCAAAAGGCAGAATAGCAGGTCCAAGTTCTTTCACTCACTAGTTTTCACAGTCTCTTTCTCTCTCTCTTTCTACCTAGGACCTCATTATGTAGCTCCAGGCATGCCTTATACTCTTCAGGTCATATGAGTGATTCACCTTGGCATTTGAAAGTTCCCTGATGGTTGTTGCTGAGATGTGTCTCACAATCCTAAGAACCGCAAGGGCCAGTCCAACCACAACACTGGCTCTGGAAGGCAAAGGACTGTGGGGGCTGCTGTAACTAGTACAGGCCAAGATAAGCAGAGCCCCAGGCATTCCCACCAACTGCATCACTATCTACAGGCTGAGACTAACAGGCAGAGAAAGTAGAAGATGGACCTGGACAACTTGCACCATAAAATAAGGAAGCACTTAAGGAATTACGAAGATGTGTAGGAAGGACAGAGAAGCCAGCTTGAATGGCTCTTGCTAAACAAATCTGGGATTCTTTAGGCATCAAAATAAATGGCAATTAATCACAATCCATTAAATAACAAAAGGATCCATGAATCCATACTGCTACATAAACATGAGAGAAGGGAAAGCTCTTGCATTGAAGAATGCAAATAAACATAGAATGAAACCGAGTGGTTGAAAGTTTGATGTGCAATGTGGTATTTATATAACCTCAAATTACCTTTCTGCAAATTACTTATTAACTATAAAATGAAATGGGCTTCCCTGATGGCTCAGCTGGTAAAGCATCCCTGCAATGAGGGATCCCTAGGTTGGAAGATCCCCTGGAGGAGGGAACAGCTACCCACTCTGTTATTCTGGCCTGGAGAATTCCATGGACTATATACTCCATGGGATTGCAAAGAGCTGGACATGACTAAGCAACTTTCACTTCACTTCATAAAATGAAAAACAGTAACTGTATAGAGGATTCCTTCAAACCCTATTCAAATTGATTATGTATTAGTTACATATTAATAATATGCAGAAATAGCCCAAGGATAACACTATTTTACTGGGTAAGGAAATTTCCAAAGCCAGACAATAATAACCCATGAGCAGAGATCATGTTTCTCTTATTTATTGCATTATTTCTAGTACAATATGGATATAGAGGAGATGTTTAAGAATTATTTTTTAAGTAAATGAATGTCTATGAACTATTAAAGAAAGAATAAGAGAGATTGAATTTCAGATTTTGCTAACCCTGGTAACTTGGCACCTCTAAAGAACTCCGGTCCAGGAGTCTGAAGATTGGACCCAAGCACTGAGGACCCAGGGCCTCAACTGTCCTCTACTTCAATTTTCCAATCCAGGTGAGCATCACCATGACCCTTAATATCTGTTGCTCTAAATTTCCTTCTAAAACAAAAGCATTTGTCTTTGTGTTTTAAGCACTTAACAGATTTGAAACACCTGGGTCATTCATCCTACAGTTATTCCCTATAGGAAATACTCAGACAATTAGCAGCAGGACTTACTCTGACAGACCCTCTTTAAAAGTCTGCTTGCAGATTTTTATAGTCAGTGTGGGCCACTAAAGACCAATTCGATGTCATTAGCATAGAAACTACAATTTGGGGAACTTAATGGTTAATTTGAATTTGTAATTTGATCTGTGCACCCGAGTTTTCTTTTGTTCAGACTGTTTGTAGGCTTAATGAGCTAAATGTCATGCACATTTGTAAGAAATATCCTTCTTGGTGCCTTTTGGGAATGAGAGGCACTGCTTGGTCTTTATGAATGACAGGTTACTGTTTTGCCTTATTACTTAATTTCATGTAGTGAAATAAAGCAGACAAAGCTTGAAAAAAAAAAGGTTTCCTTGCAGAGAAAAAGATACTTAACATCACAAATCCTTGTGTGTGCTAAGTCGCTTCAGTCGTGTCCGACTCTGTGTGACCCTATAGACTGTAGCCCATCAGGCTCCTCTGTCCATGAGATTCTGCAAGCAAGAATACTGGAGTGGGTTTCCATGCTCTTCTCCAGGGGATCTTCCTGACCCCAGGGATTGAACCCATATCTCTTATGTCTCCTGCATTGGCAGGCATGTTCTTTACTAGGCCACCTGAATCCTTAGGGAAATGCAAATCAAAATCACAATGAGACACCACTTCACACATATTAGGAGGGGTGAGTAGGAGGAGGAGGAGGGTGAGGTAGAAAGAAGAGGTGAAGGAAGGAAGGAGGGGGGACAAGATGGGGAAGAGGAAGGAGGATGGGAGAAGGGGGGAAGACAAGCAACAAAAGAATGTTTGGCAAGGATATGGAGAAATTGGAACCCTTGCACACTGATGGTGGGGGTGTAAAACACTGCAGTCACAAAGGGCAAACGCTGTATGATTCCACTTTCATAAAGGTGCTGAGAACAGTCAAATTCAGAAAGAAACAAAGTGACCATGTGGTTGTCAGGGGCTAAGGGAAAGGGGAGTGGGGAATTAGTGTTTAATGACATACTGATGCAAGATGAAAAGAGTTCTGGAAACTGGTTGCACAATAATGTGAATGTACTTAACACTGAACCAAATGCTTAAAAATAATTCGGATGGTAAATTTTATGTTATGTGCATTTTATTATTATTTTTTAAAATTAAATGAGAAAAAAAATTCTACTCAATACACCTCAGGTGTGAAATCTTGCTGTGTTAAAGTCTAGATCGCAGCTTTCTGGTTGTGAGAACTTGAACTAGCCACATAAGCTCTCAGTATTGGCCTCTGACAAAGAGGGGGAACATGTGGAGGTAACACTTCCCAAAGCTGCTGAGGGGGTCCTCTGAGAGGATCACTGATGCTCTGAACAAAGTCCTGTCAGACAAACAGAAGCTGTCCCCCCCAACCGTGCTCTCCAGTAATCCCATGTGGTCCCCAGTAGAAAGCCTCTGATAACTTTGATAGACGAGGTTACAACAATAGCAGAGTCCAACAGGAAGAAGAGTTCTTTTCCTTCCTGGCAAGGACTCAGCCAATGAAAAGCCATGGATGCTTTTTTTTGACAATCTTCCCAACTTCCTTTTCCCTTCTATAAAGGTGTTCTTCATCCCTTGCCCTTTGGGGACTTGTACATGGCTCACTCTGGTTGCAGATATGGAACCGCGATTATCTGCTGATCCTGAATAAAGCCATCTTTGCTGGAGAAATATCTGATAGTCAAGGCAACAGAGGAAAGGGAGTCAACATGATCAGATGACCCTTGAACAATTCAAAGGCAAATTATCCACTTGACACATCTGAATGGACACTAGCTAACACCTCTCAGGCTGACCAGATGCAGAACCATAAAGACCAAAAGGATCAAGAATAAACTATAGGAGATAAACTTGAATATGTTGGGCTTTTTATTTTGCCTTAAAGACATGATAGTGAATTTGAATATACCTTTGGGATGTTCTACATCTTGCTAGGGGCTGTAGTTATTGTATAAAGTTACCAAAACTCATCAAACTAAATGCTTAGGAAAGGGGAACAGGTCAAGAGCAGAAAAAGAGCCCTGGAGAGCTCACTCAGCCTCCATCAACAACATGTGGATTTCTGACTGTTAATGAAGCACAACGAGATTCATACAAGTGGTATTCTGAAAACGGTGCCAAGAATCCTGGCTTGATATTAAACATTTCTATGCTTTCAAGGTTGATAGTTACTGACAGCCCAACAGGACCAACCTCCCTAAACCATCTCAGCCCTCAGCCAGTTCATATCCACCCTCATGTCATCAGCTTCTCTGACAAGAATCTCTGGACAGTCTGTATTGACACCAGTGGCAGTTTCCACATCCACACTCCCTTTACAAGGAGACAGTTCACTGACTGAAACGTGGCCAGTGTCAGGGGAACAAGGATTTAATCACTCCCTGAAGGGTCAAGCGCATTTGGTCCAAGACCCTACTCAACCCTCATCTCTGGGGGACAGGTCCTGCACTCACACCAACCTGCTGGCCTCTGGGATGAGGGTGGGAGAGAAATGCAGAGCTCACCCCAGAGGCTAGAGTGAGGACAGTGGGGACATCACCAGGGAGAGTCTCAGCAGACTGGACAGTCTAGTCCCTGACCGGACACAGTTCATAAACTACAAAACTTACTTCCAATAGTGGGGACATAGAAGAATTATTCAAAAAACCATGATGGGAAGATGAGCTGTTTCAGAAAAAAGGAGGAGGACTATCTTTTATCAAATACTAAAAGAAATTTTAGCTGCCTTTATTCTTAGAAATGAACCAAAAATGCTGAAATAAAATGTTTACAGAGAGGCAGATGCTGCTGGAATTTAAAAAAGGTTAAAAAGCAACAGAAGAAACCAACATAAATAATGATAGCTCTAAAGTAAAGGACAAATGAAAATCTGGAAAAATATTACAAGCATTATTGAAAATTATTTCAAAATGTAAATGCCTCAGAGAGAAAAAAATCTATTAATAGACAATTCAAAGAAACACAAATAAATGGTCAATAGATGTAAATGTTTCCAAAAAAAGTTCCATCTCTACAGATCAATAAATTCAAATTAAAATTGTTTCACAATTTTTTAAACTGTAGACCTTGGAAAAATGTAATTCATGTACTCAAAGTTGGCAATAAAATAGGCACACTAAGAGCTACTGTGAGGGCAAACTGGGCAGTTCCCTAGCGGTCCAGATATAAGACTCAGAGCTTTCACAGCCAAGAGCCTGGATTCTATTACTAGTCAGAAACTTAGATTCCACATGCAGAGCAATGTGGCAAAAAAAAAAAAAAAAAAAAAATAGAAGAGGGTAAATTGATCTGAACATTGTGGAAAACAATTCAACCTTTCACCAGTCATCCTATCACTAGGACTATAGAAAAAGGAAAGATATACCACACTACATGTTCATGGATATGCATATCATAATTAGCAATAAGCTATATCAAACTGAAGTACAAGGTTGCATAAATGACAATTAAATACCATGCTCTGAACATAACTTAATGTCATAAATAAATGTTAAACACAGAAAATTAAGGAGTCAAGATTCAAAACTAGTTTTATAGAAAAGATGCATGCATGTGCACAGGTATACAAAAAGAGTTCTGGAGGAAAGATTAAGAAACAACCAAAATATCAGCAAATCTATATGGTAACAGAAATAAATCCTACTTTCTTCTATAGCTTTAAATGTCTTACAGAAATAGAAGAATGTTTATCACTTTAAAAAATCCACAAGTACCACCATTAGCTATAATGTCGACTTCTCTTAGACCCTAACTCTAAACTGTGTTGTGAAAACACTGAAACCCCAGTGAGGCCATTTGTATAAAATCAGTAAGATAGTTACTGGCATCACTTACAAGTTTAGAAAGCTGATGAAATTTGAGAAAAAAAAAAAAAACAACAAATACCCAATGAGAAGATGAAAACTAGGTTTTTCTCTACAAGTTGGGTCTTGTCTCTGGGTGGCATCTTCTGGCTGGACTCATTTCCACTTTCCCAGGTCAGCAAGTGGGGAACACAAGGAAATCATGAGGGTACCTCAGACTTTACATACAAGATAGCAATAATGGTCAACAACCAACTTCACAAGGTCTAAACCCCTTTAAAAAAGTTGATAGTGAAGTAACAATGCCAAAGGGAGGAATGACTTAAAGCAGAAGCCAGCCTCCACCTTCATCAGAATCACCTGGAGCTTGTTTAATCTCATCCCCAGAGTTTCTAACTTTACAGAACTGGTCTAGAAGGAGTGCAGTAGGGAGTTTCATTTCTAACAAGCTCCCAGGTGACAAGGATGCTGCCGGTCTGAGAGCCAGACTCTGACAACAGCTGTCCTAAAGCTTGATTATAAAATGTTTCACATGCATCATCTCCAACAGTAAGAACTTTAAGAACTTTGAAAAACTCCTGCCAACAACACCAAAGACGTGTTTGGAATTGCCTTCTCCCTGCATTTAAGAACAAGTGCCCATAAAAGCAGCTCAGTACAGTAGTTACATACAGGATAACACAGGCTTGGGAGACAGATGGCCTAGTTTGAGATCCAACTCCACCACTTACTAGCTGTGTGATGTAGGCAATTTACTCAGCCTCTCTGCTTCAGTGCCTTCAGGTGTGAGGTAAGAGGTACTAGGTCTTTCCCCTCCAGCAGGAAAACTGGAAATAGGTGGCTACCCAAATCAATGAGGAGTCTTCACTTTCCCATTTCCACACATACACACACACAATTTTGCAAATCTACAAACAGAACATGCCCGGAGAGTCCCCTGCCCTTCTGAAGTTAAGGAGACATGTCTATTTTGTTATTATTTACAGTAACCACCCCTACACTCCTACTTCTAGGCCTCTCTTGCCTTAAGGGCTGCCAAATGGCTAAGAGCTGTAGCTACACACACTGAACACACTACCATCAAGGTAAGTGCAAGGGCTCCCATCCTATGAGGATCCCCTATACCTTCCCCTTAAAAAAGGAAATGTCAGAATTTATGGGAAATATGAATGGGTTAGGGTCTAGGGACAAACAAATCTAATTATCATCCAAGAGCAATTAAAACCCAAGGGTTCAGGCAAAGCTAGTTAGTAGTCCCAGTTACCAGAGGGAAAACTTTCTTACACCTCTCTGTGCTGTTTTTCATCTGTGTGTGTTTCCTCCCATCTCAGGAACCCGTAAGTGGTTTCAGGACCAAATGACTCCTGGGTAGAACCACCTGCATCAAGACCTTTCACCTCTTCTCCAAAGGCTAAAGATCTGGATAAGACCCCACAGCCTTCAGTGACCTTATCCCCCAAGTGGTCCTCAAAGGTGAAAGCAGAAATATTTGCAACAGGGAAAGGGGCTGTGATCAAATGCACACTCTACTCCAAGCTGTATATCCCAGGCAAAAGCAAAACATGTTCAAGAACAGGGTCCCCATTCATTAAACAAAAAACAATAGTTTTTTTTTACATACATGAAATTTGTCACAACTAGGTACCAGGACATGCAGTGTGAGCCACACAGGAAGAGAGGGAGGGAGGGAAAGAAAGACTTGGTCATAGACACTGGGACAGAGCCCAGTGCAGCTGGAACCCAGGTGTCACCTAAGTTACATGAGAAATGGTGGGGACATCACTGGAAGATGGCAAAGACGTCTAATGGCAGGGCACTAATTAGATAAAGGAAGCTGTTCCTAAACTGCTTGCTTGGGGGGGGGGGGGGGCGGGGGCGGGAAGGGTGCAAATTAGTTTAGAACTAGGAATCCTGAGCTGTACTGGGGAAGCCCGTTAAAGGTGGAACGTAGGGGATCCAATTCGTTCTCCGTTTGGGCGGCGACTCCCCCGGGGGCAACCTGGGTTTTTAACCTCCCTGCCTCCTGCTCTCTGGGCTCCAGGGCCCTGGAGGATGCTGGAGCAGCGAGAGGCCAGGCAGGGAGATCCTGCGCTCCGGATACCAGGTTTCTGGGTCCCGCTCCTACGCCCAGGACTTCCCCTCACTCCTTACTCCTCAAGCCCAGGCGCAGGCGGGGACCACGCGGCCGGAGTAGGGAGGCTCCACCAGCTGCCTGGACGCCCGCGGAAAATGCTCCCTCGCCCTGCCTCTCCCCTTGGTCACTGAAAGGTGCCTGTGGCAGGCGGGTCACAGCTCAGACGGGGCGCTCACCAGAGAAACAGGCGGGAGCAGAAGTTCGAGTGCAGCAGCGGGTTGGGATTCACCTCCGGGTACACCAAGTGCATCTTGCCGGCGGCCACGGGCGAGGGCGCGGGGACCGGCGAGGGTTCCGGCGTGGACTGGGGCGCGGGCGCCGCTCTGGCAGGGGAGTTGCTCGGACTGCTCATGGTGGTGCAGACGGGGATGCTGGAGGCTCAAACACAGCGCCAGTCTGCTAGGCGGTACCCCGGAACCAGCTGACCCTGGAATTGGTGCGCCATCTCTTGCCTGGTCCCAGCCTTCTGGACCACCCTCTAGGCGCCTCTGCCACCACCTCCTGGAGTTCTGAGTGGGGAGCGGTGCGGACAGCGGGACGAAGGGGTGGCCAGACTGGAGCCACACGCAGGTGCGCGGAGAGGATGCTGGAGCAGCTGATGGAGGCGGGTAGGACGGTGCTGCACTGAGTCCTGCACCAGGGCGCCCGCGTTCAGGCACCTGGCTGCAGACTCTGCCGAAGTGCGAGCTATGAGCCCAGGCACCCACCGGAAGGTGCAGAAGGGAGGTATCAACTCTATCAGCCACATCTGCTCAGAAACGCCTGTCAGCTGTGGAGAGACCAGGAGAGAGCTGGCCGAAGGAGATAGCACCCCGCCTTCTGGGCACTCTGCCCTCATCAGGACCAAGCAAGGGCGCTGTGGGAAGTTCTCCAACTCTAATGGAGCAGGACCCTGGGAGGCCTTCCTGGGATGGAGCACATCACCTCATGCCTTCTGCCTGCTTCTTTTTTGTAGAAAAGCTTTAGTCTCCAGGTCTCCTCTAAATTACAAGAGGTGGCTCAAGAATTTATGATTGGGGTGTTGGATGCATGAGACAAGTGCTCAGAGCTGGTGCACTGGGAAGACCCAGAGGGATGGGATGGAGAGGGAGGCGGGAGCGGGGATCGGGATGGGGAACACATGTAACTCCATGGCTGATTCATGTCAATGTATGGCAAAACCCACTACAATATTGTAAAGTAATTAGCCTCCAACTAACAAAAATAAATGGAAAAAAAAAAAAGAAACAAGAAAAAAAAATGATGATTGGGGCTTCCCTGGTGGCTCAGTGGTAAAGAATCTGCCTGCTAATGCAGAAGACACAGGTTGGATCCCTGGTCGGGGAAGATCCCATATGCCTTGAAATAACTAACCCTGGGGGCCACAACTCTTGAGCCTATGCTCTAGAATCTGGGAGCACGCAACTATTGAACCCACCTGCCACAGCTAATGAAACCTGCATGCCCTAGAGCCCGTGCTCCACAGCAGAGAAGCCAGTGCAATGAGAAGTCTGCTTAGCTGCAATCAAGAGGAGCCCTCTGCTTGCTGCAATTAGAGAAAAGCCTGTGCAGCAATGAAGACCCAGCATAGCCAAAAAGAAATAAAACTATTTTTTTAAAAGACTGAAAGAATGTGAACGTGTAGTTTAAAAACAAAATTAAACACTAGATAAGCCATGCAACAGTCACAGAATCTATAGTTCCTCCGTGAAGGACATATTAATAGATAACAATATCAAATTTACATTCCTGAGTTATTCTGCAGATACTAAAAACCCCACCAGATGGAAGAAGTTAACTGTGTGATGGCCACAAGCAGGGAGCCCCCATACCAGCTAGAGCCTAAGGACTGATGATGTAAAACCCTGTGACACCACCCTGTTACCTCACCATCAACCAATCAGAAAATAATGCAACAGTTGATCACATACACTGGACTTTCTCCTTTACCTTGCCTTTTAAAATTATCCCCTTAAGTCCATCAGAGAGTTCTGGTCTTTATAGCATGAGCTGCCTGTACTCTTTGCTTAATCTTTTCAATAAACCTTTCTCTGCTTCAAACTCCAACATTTTGGTTTGTTTGGCCTCACTTTACCTCAAGCACAGGAACTTGGCTTGGATAACACAAGGGGTGCCCAAGCATTTGACCTCCACCAACAGCAGGATTTAGCACAGATTATGTATGTAGAGCTGCAAGACCTAAGGAAAGGAAACAGAAGATTAGAAGAGCTCCAATGATTTTAGAAGATGACTGAATGCTATTATTGGGGATAGGCTTTTGGCAGCTCACAGGTTGATCTGTGCAGGGGACCTCTGTAAGCATTTTGCTGCCCTATTAGATTGGGAAAGGGGGTTATGGGGAGAAAAAGACTGCTTTATGATTTCTTTAATCATGTGCTCAAGGCCTAGCAGAATAACAGCGACATATGTTATAGAACACAAGTATGTGGATTTCTGGGGAACTTCCATCATTTTTAACTCTAACAATGCCATATTCAAGAAGGCATTATTATCCCTATTTGACAAAAATGAGAAAGATGAGACTCAAGGACAGCACTTCTTCAAAGTCATAGACTCAATAAATGACAAATCCTCACTTGGACTCAAGTCCAAGTCCAGTGTGGTCTGTCTCACTGGTGGATGGTCACTGTGTGGGGAAGGTGCACTTTGTAAAATCTAAAACCTAAGGCAACATACAAAAAATTTTATTTTTTAATTCATTTAGCAAATGTTTAGTGAATGTTTTATAGGTACATGACCACTAAACCATGTATAGAACACACAAACATAGGAAAGATGTCAGAAGGTCTCTATATGTACTTGTTTCTTGATCTTAAATGGTTCAGTACTATAACTGAAAAGATATTAATAAGCGTTGAAGAGGATGTGGAGAAACTGGAACCTTCATACATTGCTGGTGGAAATGTAAAATGATACAGCTACAAAGTTTCCATATAAACCCGCAATTCTACTCCTAGATATCTACCCAAGATAAATGAAACACATGTCTACATAAAAATGTACATACAAATGTTATGACAGCATTACTCATAAAAGTAAAAAATGAGTTGGGGGTAGAGGGAATCAAGGGTACATCAACTGATAAATGAAACATGGTATTATAGGCAGTGGGGTATTATCTGGCATTTTATAAAATAGATAGACATACTAATGCATGCTACAACATGGATAACCATTGAAAATATGATGTTGAGTTAATGCAGCCACCATTGACTCAAGTGAGGATAATGAGACAGCATCTAAGGAGAGATTCAATCTTGCTGGACTTGATTCATTCCCAGATAAACCCCAGGGACACATGATACAAACTGTAACTGCTGCTGCTGCTGCTGCTGCTATGTTGCTTCAGTGGTGTCTGGTTCTGTGTGACCCTATGGGCAGCACCCTACCAGGCTCCTCTGTCCATGGGATTCTCTAGGCAAGAATACTGGAGTGGGTTGCCATTTCCTTCTCTGAAATTTTAACTATGCAAACTATAAATTATTAATGGTTAATAGCACCTCCATCAAATAGTCAAAGCATAAACTGTTGTTTTTTGTTTTGTTTTGTTTTGTTTTAGCATAAAGTGTTAAATCTGTAGGAAGTATAAGAGCAGTACTAAACTAGTTCAACAAAGATAGTGCTGGTCCTCAAGCATTTTTTCTATCAAGACATATAGGACAAATGGCATTCACAATCTACATGCTCCAGTGAGTATCCACAGTTCTGAATATGGTGACAATTTCTCTGTCACTCCACCTTCTAGTACAAAGAATGTTCAAATTACTGCACAAATGCACTCATTTCACACAATAGCAAAGTAATGCTCAAAATTCTCCAAGCAAAGCTTCAACAGTATGTGAACCGAGAACTTGCAGATGCTCAAGCTGGATTTAGAAAAGGCAGAGGAACCAGAGACCAAATTGCCAACACCCTATGGGTCATAGAATAAGCAAGGGAATTCCAGAAAAACAGCTACTTCTGCTTCGCTGACTATGCTAAAGCCTTTGACTGTGTGGATCACAACAAACTGGAAAATTCTTAAAGAGATGGGAACACCAGCCCACTTTACCTGCTTCCTGAGAAACTTGTATGCAGGTCAAGAAGCAACAGTTAGAACTGGACATGGAACAATGGACTGCTTCCAGATTGGGAAAGGAGTATGTCAAGGCTGTATATTGTCACTCTGCTTATTTAACTAATATGCAGAGTACATCATGTGAAATGCAGGGCTGGATAAAGCACAAGTTAGAATCAGGATTGCCGGGAAAAATATCAATAACCTCACATATGCAGATGACACCACCCTTATGTCAGACAGCAAAGAGGAACTGAGGAGCCTCTTGATGAAAGTGAAAGAGAAGAGTGAAAAAAGCTGGCTTAAAACTCAACATTCAAAAAAACAAAGATCAAGGCATCTAGTTCCAGCACTTCATGGCAAATAGATGGGGAAACAATGAAGACAGTGACAGAATTTATTTTCTTGGGCACCAAAATCACTGCAGATGGTGACTGCAGCCAGAAATTTAAAAGATGTTTGCTCCTTGGAAGCAAAGTTATGATAAACCTAGACAGCATATTAAAAAGCAGGGACATTACTTTGCCAACAAAGGTCCGTCTAGTCAAAGCTATGATTTTTCCAGTAGTCATGTATGGATGTGAGAGTTGGACCATAAAGAAAGCTGAGTGCTGAAGAATTGATGCTTTTGAACTATGGTACTATGAAAGATTCTTGAAAGTCCCTTAGACTGCAAGGTGATCAAACCAGTCAGTTCTAAAGGAAATGAATCCTAAATGTTCATTGGAAGGACTGATGCTGAAGCTGGAGCTCCAATACTTTGACCACATCATGTGAAGAACTGATTCATTCATTGGAAAAGACACTGATGCTGAAAATGATCGAAGGCAGAAGGATAAAGGAACAACAGAAAAAAGATCATTGGATGCCATTACCAACTCAATGGACATGAGTTTGAGTAAGCTCCAGGAGATGGTGAAGGACAGGCAAGCCTGGCCTGCTGCAGTCCATGGGGTCGAAAAGAGTTGGACACAACTGAGTGACTGAATAATCACCTCTCTAACCTCCTCTCTAACCTCAGAAGTGGACATCCAAATTAAATCTAGCCAATCATAATATGCCATGTCTGTATCCAAAGGGTTCGGCACAGGTATAACCTCATATCTGTTATAAGAGGTATAACTTCTATGCCAGGCCAACTGGCTTTCTTCCTTGAGAAAGTTTTTGTTGCTGTTCTTGTTGTTCTTATTTATTCTTATCTGGCTGCACCAGGAAGATGGCTTCCCAGGTGGCGCTAGTGGTAAAGAACCCTCCTGCCAATGCAGGAGATGTAACAGACTCGACTTTAAGCCCTGGGTCAGGAAGATCCCCTGGAGTACGACACGGCAATCCACTCCAGTATTCTTGCCTGGAGAATCCCATAGACAGAGAAGTCTGGTTTGCTATGGTCCATATGGTTGCAAAAAGTCAGACACAATTGAAGCAACTTCACATGCATGTGTGCACAGAAAAGGAAAAACTTCACTTTCTTTTCTGATGAAGGAGTTATAAGGGTATGATCCATAACTGCTGGTGGTCATGTTTCCCATTTAAACAGAGGAGCTGGAAAGTACAAACAGATACCCAAAGGTCATACAATCAACAACAATTTATTAAACACCTACTGTGTGTCAAGACTGAATCAGGAGCCAAAGACACATAAGTGAACAGGATGAGTGGTGTAAAGGAGAGTTTTGGTGGCATGAAGTCTCTGGGGCTCCTGAGACTAATAGTATCCCTCCTTGGACGGTGGGACCGTCCAAGGTCACACTGGAGCTTCAGCTTCAGCATCAGTCCTTCCAATGAACAGCTGGAGCAGAAGCTGTCACTTTCCAACTTGAGTCCTCTGACTCTTCTCCAGGACTAAAGAGCTCACTGCTTATCTGCAACTCTCTGTTGAAGGGCCTTTTTTCAGCTGTGGGAGTGCAGTGAGGTCATATGCAAGATGAGGAAAAACCCCTGGATTCCAAACTCAATCAGTGATGGATGGGGGGTGGGTAGATAAAGGCCCCAGTGCCCTTGCCTGTCAGTTGGAATAATTTTGTCTCCCAGGGTGATCAAGCAGGAAGGAGTCCAGTTGTCTGAGCATTAACTCACTTGTAACACACTTTTATCGGCTATCTTCCCTTCTCTGTCTCATTTCTCCACTCCCTCCAAGTGTTTTTCTGGGATCACTTCCAAAATAAACTACTTCCACTCAGACCCTTGTCTCAGGGTCTGTTTCTGGGGAACCCAAACTAAGACACCTACAAGAACCATCCTTCCAATTATTGAAAAAATATATTCACTCCTTTGCACCCATAACAATCCTAACTAATACTATGAATGCTTACTGTCCAATACAGTAAGGAGGATTGTGAAGACTTCCGATGCATCTGGCCCAAACTGAGGTGTGCTGTATGTATAAAATACATTATGCACTTCAAAGAGAGAAGAAAACCCTTTTCGTCTTACTAATGATTTTTTATACTGATTACATGTTGAAACAATATTACTTTTGACATTACTTTTGGATATAAAAATATCTTACTAATATTACTTTCACTTGTTCATTTTAGATTTTAACATGACTACTACAAATTCTAAAACTACAGATGTTGGGAATTTCCTGGCAGTACAGTAGTTAGGACTCCACACTCTCATTGCCAAAGGCCTGGATTCAATCCCTGGTCAGGGAACTAAGATCCCACAAGCCAAGCAGCATGGCCAAAAAATAGACAGATAGATAAATAAGTAAAATAAAGTAAAATAAAATTACAGATGTGGCACATTTTATTTCTATCGACACAAGATAGGTGGTAACTTTAGATAAGAGGCTAGTGGGAAAGTGCAGCTGGCTTCTGGCCCAAAGATGGTAGTTTCGGTCAGAAAGCCTGAGGTGCCACCTCTTCAAATGAGCTGGTCTGCAAAGTGAAAACGTGAGTGTTAATCACTCATTTGTGTTCAACTCTTTGCAACCCCTAACCCCACCAGACTCCTCTATCCATGGAATTCTGGTCTATAAGGGTACATTTAACTCCATATCATGTGTCCACACAAAGTTCAGAATCAAAGTTTGTAGTATAACTTGTTTGTATCCCAAGATT